ATTATGGAATACGAATGCGAATACGAAATCTTATCTGTTAGATGCTCTCTAGGAATGGGAATGGGAATGGGAATCGGATTCGGATTCATCAGCCACGCTACGTGGCTACCTCTGCCGGTCATATGGTGTCCGCTTATCGGGTAGGGAGCTGGTAATTATTTGGCTATAAATAACAATAAAAACCTGATCATAAAACTGGCAGCAGTGCCTTATCTTTTAGCGATGATGATCACTGCCTAGTCAGCTACTACCGCATTTTTTAAAAGTTGTAACTCTCTAGTCTGCATTTGATATATGTTTCTTCTCTTTTTTCTTTATTTTTTTGGGTGAAAGCCAGATCCAGCTCTCATTGCCAGCTACTTAGTGGAAAGTTTTGACTCCGGTTTACAAGTATATAAATATAGTATATATTATATATGATGATGATGTGCCTTGAAACTCCGATTCTAAAGGTTACAAGCATGTTAATTTCATTCACAAAAGAAACTCAACAGAAAAAAATTAGAGACATGCATACATAAAGATATATATGTATATATATATAAATGTCGGTCTATACGCCACTGGTGTGTATCGATGTAAACAAGTTTTAGCTTTATTTTTCTGTATTATTTTCGCCTCGGATTATGGGCTGCCGTTTTCGTTGGCTTATGCAATATGGGAGTTGGATTTAATCAATTGTTTTGTTGCGACATTTAATAAGGTATTACTTTTAAGCTAAGAAGTAAGTGTTTAAATGAAGAGTAAGTCAGAGGATAATGTTTAGAATTTATAGAAAAACTTGAGAGTAAGTCATGATTATAAGGTTAGAATTTAATGTAAAAACTAGCAGCATTTCTAATGATTAAATTAAGTATTTAATTTTTAAATAAAGGTAAACTAAGTCAAGTTAAGAATTTAATGTAGAAATTAAGATAATAAAGCCTAGAATTTTTGGAAAAATGTTTAGGTATGTCAAGAATTACGTTGGGAATTTAATGCGTTTAGAATTTACTGTAAAAATTATTAGAAATTAGAGGGAATTTAATGTAGAAATTAGGCGAAACTAGGGTATAAGTTTTAAATTTTAAGTTAAAATAAAGTAAAGTTAAAATAAAATAAAATTTGCAGTTAAAATGAATAGTTATTCAAGCAATTTTTAATATTAATAATATTATTATTAATAATTTATGTTTTAAAATAAGTAAAAGTATTTAATATTTTATATTCTACGGAAATTCTATAATTTGGCAGTAATTATATATTTTTATGTGAGATTAAACATTGCTTTATTTAGGTTACATTAATTTGTATATATAGTAAATTTATGAAAATAAATCTAACCTAAGCTGATTTTTTTTTTAAATATTTTTAAATAAATATTTAACCGTAATTAAGCATTTATTGTAATACAAAAGTGTTTCTTTTAAGCTCATACACCCTACGCTTTGCCTTGTGCTTATTTTTCAAAACAAAAAAAAAGTTGTATTATCATTAAGAAGAATTATCATTAGGTGAATGGCAGAATAGGACATTAAATAAATATTAAATGGAACCATAAATTACTTCACCCGACACAGACAGTTGGCTAATCAGTCTTACCAAGTTCTGGGTAAAATCACCAACTAATGCTTCCAGAGAATTCTATATTCAGAGCACGATTATCAAGCTATATCTGGTGTTTATGTCTACCACTATTTTATCCACTGGCTGGCATCAAGTGTGACTTTTGGCTCTGCTTTTCTGCGAAATGCAAATCGAATGACTGACTAATGACACCTTGCTCCGTGTGTGTGTGTTTTTTTGTGTTCCAATTCAAAATTGAGTGATTTCCGATCGCTGATCGTGACGACAATCGTTTTTTTTTTGGGCGAGGCTGTTTGTGTGTTGTTGCCAACTTTAATGAAGCGATAATACGATACCAGCCAAGGAAAGACAGACGCTCCAGTTGGGAGCTGCTTTTGGCTTTTGCTGCTAATTTGCCAGGCTGAAAATACAGACAGACAAAGGCCTAGGAGTATTTGGCCAGTGTATTAGCACACACGGACGAGGGTGTAAATATTTGCGGGTCTATTTGGCACTGGCCGTGCCAAGGAGGCACAACATGTGCACTTGGGCACACGGTGCGTATGAGTAATAAAGTCAAGATGCTGTCTTTTGCCGCCGCCAGCCGTCATTTATGAAGAAGCGGAGCGAACAAATTGCTATGTAAACGATCGCAAAACGATATCAACATGAGATATATACATATAGGAGCTATATGCAAGACAGACAGACAGACAGACGGACGGACAGACAGGTAGCTAAATTATTATCAGCATTTGCAGTTGTTTCGCTGTTTTTTCAACGTCAACAGGCTTTCCAAAATGAATGTATATATAAAATATTTAAAAAAGAGATATATATGTATTATAAAATAATACAATATACCATTAAGCGAAAGTTTTCACCTGTCTGGGCTTAGCCAGAAACAAAAGAAAACCGATATATCACAATCTATATCTATATGGCTGTGCACACCAATGAATTCAGATTTTTTTTTGTTTCTGATCAAGTCAAGTGGTGTCTATAATTTATCGCTTTCTCAGCTATATTCCTGATTGATTAATGGACACGTCTAGCCGGACATGCTAGTCATAAGATCTAGAACAGTTAAGCCCATAATTCGGGCATTTGTTTTCATCTATTTTTAATGGTGTTTACTGTGTCTCGATACCGTCAGTGTTTGGTTTAAATTTATTGCCATGTTATGTAGTCCAGATATATGGCCAAGTTCCTGATCAAAAGGCTCTGATCATAATAAATTTATTGACTGTCTTTTTCCTAAGTTAAGTTATTTCATTATTTGAATAATTTCTTATTTTACTTAAAAGCTGGTTGTAACAATTGCTGCCTTTAAAGAATTTTGTAACAATTGTTTACACAAAATATTTACTGATTGCATTGCAGGGGGAAGGTGGAAAATATGCATAAAATTCATAGAATTCCCATTGAAGCCGACTGTTATTCAGTTATATAATTAGCTAAATTTATAGTTTAATTGAGCAACAGATTTTAATTGCCAGCAAAGCGTTGAAATAATTGCTCGAATATATACCTATTTTTCGGGTTAGATAATCTCAGGGGAGGGGAGTTGAGTTGTTAGGCTTAATAATTAATTAAATAAAGCTGTGCTAATACCCAGCGTGTTCTAATACCCGTTGTTACCGTTAAAACATTTTCCACAGCTAAGTATTGTGCGACTTTTTGTGCCATAAATATTTCATAATGAAAAAAAAAAAAAATACAAAAAACGGAGCTTGTTTCTGATTTGTATCTGAATCTGCGGATGTATCTATCGGCTATATCTGTATCTGTATCTGTATGTTTGCCTGTGTTTGCTGACTTTTTGCGGAAGTGCATTGATTTTCCACTCAAGTGGGCACTTGACTTGCCGCTATCGTCATGAATTGATTTTCTCACCTTTATTTACTTAACTTTTGTTTCTCTGTTAGCTCACTCTGCGCTTGAAAAATGTTAATTAGTTTTTTTTTGCCCCTCGGCAAGCACTTTTAATTAGAACTTTAGTATTAGTGGCAGTTGTTTTTTGCTGTTTCTATTTCTGCCCCTACTTCTAGGTGATTTGTTATCGTAACATTTATGCAAATTGCAATTGGAAGTGGGCAATTTGTGTGCGGATTTCCGCCTGCAACGCATCTTCAACGCGCGAAAACTCGAAACTCTGGCATGGATCCCCAGATATAGCCAGATATATGTAGCTAGTGAAAGTTTTCTATGCTGATCCCCGGGGGCGCCAGATGTGTGAGCTGCCTTTTTATAAGCCCCTTAGGAGTCGTCTCGTCTCCGATTGACAAGCTGCGCATGCGCGCCGGACGCTTAAATAACGCCCGTGTCTCCGCACTGCGCATGCCAAAAAAAAAAAATTCAACGTAGCGACGACGTACGCCCTGCGAAATCCCAAATCGGAATACTTGAAACGTATCCATCAGATACAGTCACATGGCCATATTTTGGCCCAGCTGCTGCTCTGGGTGGTTGTGGGTGTATCTGTTTAAGTGTAGGACCACCCACTGGTTTTTTTTTGTGACATAAATAGTGCAAATATCTGAATAATACTATATAACCCAGTTAAGGTGAGTTAAGAGACTTTGTTTTCTGCATAGTAAGTATTAGCTTTAAAAATGGAGCTTGACTTAAGCCATATTTAAATATTTCCTTGATTTATTTCTTGATTTCTAAACACATATTTCGAAATCTCCTTTTTATAGCTTACTTAAATCTGTCTATATCTATACATATCTTGAATTATAGAGTTTATCGTAAAAATAAGACGGTATTAACCCCATATTTGCCACGCCTACTTAGAATTACCTCATAAAATTTCCACTTTTCTGTTTTCGTAATTTTTCTGCTTTATTTTTGGTTTTTTTTTTCATTTTTTTTATTTCGAGTCCCAAGCGAAACCGCCGCCAAAGTTTATGCATTTGTTTATTTATTTATTTTTTGCCTTGAGTCGCCAGTTGGTTTTGGTTGTGAAGTCGAAAGTTTGCAAAATGATTCTCATGATTAAGAGGTTTTCTTATTTATTTCTCAACTTGAAAGTGTTTACAACACTAATTAATGGTCCTTGTGACAGCTGTGTCTTTAAAAGATCAATACCTTAATTGGTTTGCATGTAACATTTTCTATTAGCCTTTGGCTATTGGTAGAATACAATTTGTTAGCAGTTTGCAAATAATAAAAAAAAGTGTAAACTTTATAAAAAAGTTAAAAAAAAAGAAAAGCAATTGTTGATCATAGATATGTGAAGGGTTCTAAGAGTTCCCTTATTTGTACTACTTTAAGTTCACTCATTTTTGTTGTCATCTCTTAAACCATCTTTTTTAAATATATAACTTTTATATAAACTATTTTTACGTTCTTCCTTAATAATTTTCAAAAGGACTTTTAGAACTCTGCCTCGATTCCCGTTACATATTTAACCGTTTTAATAGTAAAGGCGTGTAGCCTCTAACACTTACCGTTAAAGCTCCTATACGTGAGCCTGAGCCACACACGAATCCGAACTTTGTATATGTGTGCGCCGCCGGATTGTATGTTTGTGTGTAAGAGCGTTTTTTTGTGGGAAAGCCCAAAACAGGATGCGCCGCTTTGCCGCTTAGCGAAAATCCACTTCCGTCTTTTAATGCGTTTCTGCCGTTTCTGTTTGTGTTGTGTGAGCGCGTTTTTTTGTATTTTTTATTTCGTAAATTATGATATTTGTTGTTGGTTTTTCAAATTTTATTTCGACAATTTAATGTAATTGTCAGCGCAAAAAAAAAAGAAGAGAAACAGTTCTTGATTTGTTTTCAATAAAAGCAGGAAGCGCGGGTCAAATTCACGGCGGGGGCGAATGATTTACATTTCCGTTGGAAAACAAAAAATTTTAGAAGAGCCGAAAAAAAAAAAATATAATGGAAACCAGGATATGTCACCAAGAAACAGTCACATTAATATTTAGGGACTCTTCCTCCGATGCCGGTATTTTGTTTGGAACTTTCTTATCAGGTTCGGTTTTCGCGAATTTTATGGTTTTTGCGGATTTTGCAGTCTCTTGGAAAATTGTTGTGTTGTTTCGAGTTTTTCAGTTTTCGGAGCGGAAAAAAGCACGACCAACTCGAAAACGCACTAAAACGGTATTAAAAGCCGAGACTAAAATTAACTTTGCAAGTAATTTACGATGCGACCCGAGGTCGCCGAAGTCGCTGCCGAAGTGACTGAGCCGAAGCCGAAGTCGCGGCCGAAGCGCTTGCCGAGGAGTTGCGAGAGCCGAAGTCGCAGTCGCGCGAGAGCAGAGTTCACTTCACTTTGGCTTTGCTTGTTGTTTTTGTTGCTGCTGCTGCTGCTGCTGCGGGAGTCACAGTTGCAGTTGCTGTTGTTGTTGTTGTTGTTGTGAAGATGCGATACGAGATAATAAAAAAAATCAGCTGCTCGTTATCGCTCTCAGGCCGTGTTTGTTGTTGTTGTTTTTGGCGTATTAGCGCTTTTTTTTTCGTAGGGGCTGCTGGCGCTGGCTAAACGTTGATCGCTGGCCGTTCGCTTTGGGAATGATGTTGGCTTAAAGCCGACCGCTACGTAATATACGCTCAGATCCTGTTTGCATGCCGTCGGCGTCGCAGTCGCCGTCGGCGCCGGCATAGGCGCTGGCAGCAAAAGAGCGGCGGAAAAGAGAGCGCGGGCGCACGGATCACGAGCTTTTTTTTCGGTTGTTTGCTTTTGGCTGTTTCTTCTGCCCAGCTTGGAGGTGCTTGCCGTGTTCGTGTGTGTGTGTGTGTGTGTGAGTGTGTGTTTGCAGCGCAGCATCGCACTGTGGGCTCAAATGAGCACGAAGTGAGCACTATTTGCTTGAGAATTCGTTAACTTAGACAAATTACTTGGGTAAATATTAAGAAAGGAAAGTATTAAAGCAAATTGTGTTTATCTTGTTTTTCTAAAGCAAATAATTATGCATACAATATAAATACGATGTTGATATAAGATAATATTTAAAGGTGAAATATTCCCTAACAGTTTGTTATTATTATTACCGCTGAATGTCATTTTATCCTAAAAAATAACTTATATCGTTTATCTTATTTAACTTAGGGAAACTAGTGAGATGGATATGTATTTGATTTATTTTCATACAGTATCAGGTTTAGGATTTGAATCATTTAAACATGACTAAAAATGATCCTCTACTAATTTCCATGGCTAAAGGTTTTAAACAAGCATTATAATCTATACCAGGAATATACATATGTATAACAAACCCACTTATAAATATGGGGCCTTGCCTAATAATACATATTTTCTGGTTATCTTTATGGTCTGGCAACGAGTTAATCGATCAGTGGCTTACTATTAAAGTGGAGTTTATACATTTAGCTCCACTGTATCTCAGTCGATGGCGCAGCATCGCCGTCTGTAAGTTCGCCCCCGCGTATGAATCTGAATCGGCTTCGAACGTGTTCGCCGCGGGTTGCGGCTCGATCATCGGTGGGATTCACACGCCAGCCAATCGCTTTAAGCGGCGCTTTTCAACTTTCATTAGAAATTATCGGATGCCGACGCCACGCCCACTTTTGTGGAGTGCTCCTGTGTGTGAGTTTGTGTTTGTGTGTGTCTTGAAAATTGGATTTAACGGCACCGATATCGCCACTTCCTCTCTTCCCCCATCCTCTCGCCATGCAAATTTTTATATACATCTTTTTTTTTAGCACATCTTAATTCAATAATTGCCGATAATTGCCGTTAATGGAAGAGATGAGACAACAATTGGCGCAACGCCATTGATAAATCGAGGGATATGTGGAATATGGGGAAAAATGAAATGTAAGTGTATGTGGAATACTGGAATATGGGAAGTGGGGTATGGTGTGGAATATGGAATCCGGGATGTGTGGAATAAAGGATATAAAAAGTTGCATAATAATTTCATTATTTAAGTCCCATGTTATATAATTAACCATTTAATAAAGTAATTAAAAGGATAATGAGATAGGGATAAGGCAACTGGAATGTAGGTTAAGGAAAACGAGATAAGAAACTGGGAATATGGTAAAAAGGATAAGGAACCCTAAAAACGAAACAGAAAAAATTATAATATCATCCATTTCGTATAGAATGGATTAATTGAGGGCTAGGACAATATGAAATGTGGAATAAGAAGCAAATTAAATAAAGTGAAACATAGAAAATGGGATGGGATGAAAGGTTAAACAGATTATTAGGGTAAAAAACAAAAACCATTCACAGAATCCTGAGTCAGACGGAATATGCAATCAAAGATAAAGGTCCTGAGAGATAAGGAAAATAAGAAAATATATAAAGCAGGCAATAGGGCAAGCATTAGGAAGTGTCATCGCCATATGCCACCCGTGCGGCTACGTAATATTAAAACCTGAGATACTGATAATAGAGCCCAGAAATCGGAGCGTTGCAACTCTCATCACTTTTTGTATGTATGTCACTGCCAGGGGAGTGCGTCAATTGTTTAATGCAAAACAACAAACAAACAGATCGGCAAACAAAACAAAAGCCACCGATATATATCCCATAAACCTACCTCCCCCATATACATATATACATATGTACATACTTACGCCTTATAACCATATCCCATGGCAATTGAGCGAATATACAAAAGTCAGACGAGCCATCAAGCAATTTTTTTTTTATCGTTTCATTTTTAATTTATTAATTATTTATTTGTTTGCTTAAACGAACGACGTTGTCGTTTATTGTTGTCTCAATTTCGGATCGGTTTTCGTTATTCGGCTTTCGGTTTTCGCTTTTCGTCATCTCGCCCTGACGTCACAAGAGCATCATATATATGTCTATATATACATATTCTATATGGATAAGCAGATGCGAGCACAAAGTGCGAATCTCGAAGCATATCCGCAATGTTTTGGCCTTCTTCGTTAGCCAGAATCTGCTTGAAATTCGGTCTATAGAACGTTTTTTTTTTTGCTTTGGCTTTTGGGTTCATTTCTGGTTGCCTGCTTAAGCTGAAAGTCTAGATACTTACTTATTCTGTTGTGTAAATAAGCCTAAATGAGCTGTTCAGCGATATCAGAGGTTCGTTAAACTCAATTTCAAGGTCGTCTAATAACCCATATCGTGATGAAAAACTCTTAAAAATATCATTTATACTATGATATTTAATGTTGGTTAAGTTAAAAGAAAGTCAGTTAAGGATTATAAGTATAATTTCTTGTAAATCTCTTACAAGATCTAAAGAGTCTGAAGCTGAAAAGACTTTTCACTGCGTAATTGATCCTAATGGAATAATACTACAAAAACTGCAGGCCTGCTTTTAACTTGAAGGCGGACCAACAACAAACATATCAATCTTGTGTGCGTATCATGGGTGTACATACATACATATATGTATATAGTAAAGAGATCCAAAGATCTTTGGGGGAAATGGTTGGGCTCGACTCGATCGTGTCCCTCGTTGAATTGTCAATTTATTTATTAGACACATTTCACATTTCAATTAAATACCCCAACCACAATCTGCACTGATCTGCCCCAAGCTGACTCTGTTAAGATCGCCTGCGTGCTATACTATATATATGTTATATAGCGTAGACTGATTCATTTGGCCTCCTGAATGCGTCACCCGGATGCATGTATGTGAGATCTTTACTTCATAATGGGTTATGCAATTACAGCGTAGACACCACATGATAGCTGTAACTACGTACGTACGAAGGGGCGCTAATTGGAGGCGCGACACGTGCAAATATCTATACTAGATTCTATATATTCTCATTAATCAAATCTGTATGAAATTGCATAACCTCCCCCGCCTAATGGCAATGACAAGAAAAACCCCAAAAAAAAAAAACAAAGACGAAATCCTCACCAGTCATCACAAGATACTTAACTCTTTTCAGCCTCTTATGGCTGGTGGCTGACTAACGCGAAAGATAAACCCGCTGGCCAAGATAAGATAGACAGACGAACTTTACCGACTGGAACTCGGTTTATGGAAGAATTATTTAAATGTACGCCCAATGGAATGTATGTTTATTTCGGAATGTAAACTAGTTCTGCAGGTCTGAAAGAAGTATCAATATTTCAGATCCTAAAAAGATAGATACAAAGATCTAGAAATGTTGAGATACATACATTTTTATTTAACTTTATGCCAACTATATGGATGTTTAAAATTATTACATTTTAAAAAAGATATTTTCATATTTTTAGATACAAGTCTAGAGTTCTATAAATTTTAAGAAAAAATGTTATTCTTGATATTACAATTTCATTTAAAGGAAGAAAGCATATCATTTACCAATAAAAGACCTAGAACTTGATTCTCAAACTAACCTAATTACCATTTAAATAATTTTATGCCAGTGCAGAGAGCCCCTCTGACTAAGCCAAAGGAAATCTGTGAGCCCTGTGTGAGATCTGCTTAATCGGGGGGATCTTTTCGGTGCGATAAGAGTGCGTTAGAATCGTTTGGCTCTTCTCCGCGCTTCACTGTTTGCACTTGTGTGTTTGGCTTTAGCAAATTGCAAATCACTTTATGGGCTTCACATGAACCATAAATCTATTGCCGCGAAAAGCGACAAAAAACTCGCGTCAGGGATATGCGTGGCACCCATATGGGTCACTCAGACTGCGGATGAATATACGGGTGTACTGTTTGCTTTGTCGCCCCCTGGCTACCGCACTTGAATTTAAGTCTTTGATAACCTCCTCAAGTTCACTGCCTTGTATCGTCATAATCATAATCATTTCATCATCTGCTGCAACACACATTCGATTCGATTCGTCTCTCGTCTCATTCATTCATTTATTAATTCAATCAATTAATAATGGCTAAGAACAATTAACACTTGGCCAACCACTCACACAGCTGCAGCGAGTAGACCGCTCTGCGCCGGACCCAATTGGTTTGCAGCCGCCGCGATCCAGCGATCCACCGAACAAACTCCCAAGTGTCATGTCTGCGCCCCTCCATTCGAGCGAATCTCTGGTCTGTTTCAATGGCTCCAGTTTCAGGGATCTGGGGTTTCAGTGGGTGTAATTTTCTATATCTTATATCAAGTGTTTTTTTTTCCTAAATTTAATTAATTTTTTATAGATTAACCTTATTAGTATTCTATTTGGGTTTCTGGTTTAAAAATACTTTAACTTTAAATCCATTTTAGGGGGTTTATTTTGAAAACAAATATTTAAAATTATAAATACCTATATTTTTCTCTTAGGAAAGATTTAAAAGGAATCAATAATTGTAGTTATTATTTATTTATTTATCTATTAAGAAAAAAAATAGTTTTCTTACTAGATAAATATATAAAATAAATTTTAAAAAATCTAGCCTTAGAATAAACACTTAAACAAATTATAAATAAATGTTAAGGCAAGTTAAAGAGTAATAACTAAAATAAATATGACAAGTTTAAGAATAAAAATGGAAAAAAATTTTTCAGTTCATTTAAAATAAACCTTAGAAACCCCAAAAATTCCTTTTAAAAACCTTTAAAAAACATACCTTAAATGGTAAGTACTTAAGAACTTAAA